AACAGATTTCACATCATGTTTCGTATTTAGTTAACAATGACAACTGTATGTCTTAATAAATATATTAAATATGTATTCAATTTTTTAATATATTTTATGTAAGTGCGCCTTTAATCGATCTGATAATAATTAACTAGAGCAGTTAAATAAATTTTATGTTATCAGTCCTAGTGTTTAACTATTCAATATTTTTTAGAAATACAGTGAAAATAAAAAGGGACTACCTATTCCAGATACAACAAGTATTTTGAGTTACAATACAGACTAAACACCTTCATCTTCGTTTATGCCTTCTTGGTTTCCACTTGCATTTTCCAAGTAAGACTTCTAAAGAATTGTTTGTTATGGCACATCCTAGTTGCAATGATAATATTTTTTGCCTATTCTGATTGCAAGGCATGGATCCTTTTTTGTGTTTAATTTTATTTGTTCACATTTGTGTTCATTTAGTTTAAATTCACAGTTTGGTGTTTAATTTGTTCTAATTTAGCATCGATTTGAGTTTATAATTACAATGTTATCTAAAAATACTGACGTCATGACTCGGATGTGAGTACCTCAGATGAATATAACATAAACAGATCCAAAGTGACTATTTGTTAATGCTCCTGCTAAAAGCAAAAATTGACTAATTTTTAAAATCACGCAAACTGGTTCGCAACATTTTTACTGAAAGTGAATTCACCACTTTTAATATATAGAGAAATAAACATGATCAACAACCTCTCAAACATTAAAAAGCAGGCCCGTTCCCAGAAATATATATTTCAGGAGACACTGTTAGAGATTTGACTACTTATTGAAAAAACCTTTGCCTTCCGGTATTTGACAAATAGTTTAGTTCACGATAATACTCTTTACTAAAAAAGAATCGAAAAATCTTGATTTAAATGATGTTCGTTAAAAAAAGTTGAGGTTTCTCACACTAGCTGATATTTTTGTAGATTTCATTGCTCAAAATAAAATCTACAACATATTTTATTTATAAAAACGGACTAATTAAAGAAAATCTGTGTATTTTTTATGATTTTTATTCCACTAAATAGTTGATGCAATTTTTTAGTCAAAGAAGTGTATATGTCTCAATTTGACTTGTATTCTCATAGCACTACTTCATAGATGAACTTAGATTTCCGCAATCATTGCGAGTTCATAGAAAAAGATGATAGACGTTCCAAAAATCATATTCATAGAAGATAATGCAAAGATAGAATAAAAATGTCAATAAATGTATTTTGACAAAAAGAAACGATCTTAAAGGAGACCAAATAAATATACAGGAATAACCATTTATTTTTAAATAATATTTGATGGATTTTTAGAACAGAAAATAATTGCAAATAATAATTGAAAAGATGATACCAGAACTTCTTAAAGCAAGATAAGCGGATATAAATAATATAAGACATGCTAGTCTATTAAAGAAAACTATTTTGCTGCTTTTAGTGTTTGCCTTTTAGAAATCTAATGATAGATAAATACATATATGAAGTAATAATTTTCTAGGATGGAGTCTGAAGTCTATATTCAAAATTCTCAAAGGATATATACATACCATAACATTTTAGTCATATAAAAGAATTTAGTAGGATTCATGTCCTGGTAATTTCTTTTCATCTAAAAAAAATAAAAAATTTAAAAACATTTTAAAAAATCTAATAAGGAAAGAAGGGCTTTCTGTTTATAGGTAAATCATTATGTGTTAGTGTATTACGTTTACTACATCTCTACATAACGTGTAGACAGTACATATTATATATTAAATTAATAAAATATGTAACAAAAACAATGAAATACTAAGCTTGTCAAACCTTTAAATAAAATATATAACTTCTTGAACATAATGCTTATTCCTCTTAATTTTGAATTAGAAAGAGACAACAATATTCTTTTATTTTTTTAATATATCCGATCTCAGCAAATACGCACTTATGTAATGACTTTTGGACTTAACTTAAATCATTATGTATCAGTACATTACACGTCATGTTTAATAACGTGTATATATGCAATATACAAAAAAAAAAGAAAGTTATATATTGTAGATAGTGCTTATTGTATTCCACTAAGTGCTGATTTAGAAAGAGAAACTATAATATGTACTTCAATTCTTCTAATTGAAGAATTCTTCTGATTTCAGTAGATAAACATTTGTAGAACGACGTTATGATTATATTTGCATCATTATATATTAGTATAAGGCGTGTACAATATGATACATCAATTTGTAAAAAATATACTATATAGCTCAATAATAATTTGATCAACACATACGTTACGGATGAGGGCAAACAATATATAAACACTATCCACAATACATATGTTTATTAAAGTATTATTAAGATGCACCATACATTTATTTTCTGTCCTCAAATTGATATATCTTATATATTTCTTTTGTACACACTTATAGTACACGCCCTATACTAGTATATAATTCTAATATTGCTTCATAACTGTTAATTTGCTGAGATCAAATATTTCTGAATTATTGCTTAATAGTGTAGTCTCTTTCTAATTGAATATTTACAATAATACAATTCCAAAAAACTAAGTGCTGAGTTAAAGCGAGAACGTATTATGTATCAATCTTGCAAAAATTTATGATCTCAGCAGATTAATATGTTTGAATTTGGCTGCCTTTATATATTGTTTTATATATATATTTTTTACACCCTTCACACCCAGTATGAAAACTGTATATAAAATATATAATGCAGTAAAGATTAAGATAGGCTTTTAAGTATGTTCGGTTTTAACCGGTTTAGTTCTATAAACTACAAAAGACCATTTTTAATGAACTCAAAAGGTATAATGCCAAAAAACACTAATTTATATGGTTATCTATTTCGTGGATTAAATTTGGTAGCAGTGCTTTAATAGATTATTTGAAAGAGAATTATCATGTAAAATATTATATATTTAGTTCAAAGTTTGCTATTTTTTCATATGGATCATACAATGCTTAGATTTATTAGAGTTTGGATAATTATTTTACATCTCAAAGCTTTTTCAACGATGACGACCAATTGTCGTTTATTAAATATATAAACAAACCAAATTGTTATATCTGTTCCCTAGGACAAGTAAATGTCGTAAGGCTATTGCATCCACAAAAAGTCACTATATAGCACTTAGTCTAGATGTATGCTAACGTCATATTATTTTGAAAATTAAAATGACAAAATTGGACATGTACATTTAATTCAATAGGTTTTAGCAGAGCAATGTCACAAGTTACACAAAAAATCCTGTATGTTGCGAGAGAAAATTTTGGGTTTTGTAATTGCATGTTCTCATGATGTGAACTAACCTTCTGGATCATCCGATCAGCACAGCTTTCTGTATACGTGAATATATATACAGAATCGTGTTTAGTGGACAATCCTCCAACTCTCGGCTTTTAATTCTTTGCAAACGTCGAGTTATGATCAAGCAAAATATTTACATTTGCTAATGCAATATATTTATGCCAATTTCAATTTTTAATTAAACTCACGTGATAAATGTTCGTTTTGCTTTATGAAATATGAAATCCTTTCAAGGAAGATGCCTAGATAGTATTACCTGCTAATATACCTATATAGGATGTTGCATAAAACTTTTCTGACCTGGAACTATCCTAAATCAAGTCTCTTTAAGTAACGAAACATAACGGCAACATAAACTGAAGTCATTACAAGAAAGTGTATTTAAAAACACTTCAGATGATAGTAACCATGTCTTGTAAATAAATTTTGATAATTTCAAAATTTTTGTAATGATTTTCTTATACAGTATCTCTAACGACACCAATGTACTCGAATCTTACATAGAAAATTTCTCCAAAAATCTGGGATCTGGAAGCTATATATATCGCTTAATTGATATATATAGCTTCACGTACAACTACATCATAAGCTCATGTTTTGAATTTGTTCATTTTACTAATGATTGAAGTGTAATAAGGTGTAATAAAGAATACCCAATGTCTCTAAGCGTAGGGTGTCTAACTTGACCGAAGACGAAGCCAAATTAATTTTTTTTTCTTTCTTATTATACTGATATATCAATATACAGTAATAATTCTTATACATCAATTCAGTTTTATGTATTGATCTAAAAAGAGTCCACACTATTTAGTATTTTGTCGTAAATAACTGACCTCAGCAGATAAGTCTTTTGTCTCATCTTTTTGATCTTTTTACTGTAAATGAAAATATTGACTACATATGTGTACATTTATTAAATATAGAGCCATATATTGATATTTTGCGAGAATCGTGGTTTCATATGCATGTGTACCTATTGATAAAATATATTTCATGCACTGATTGGCTATTTCTTATTTAACTGTACATAAGAAATCGAAAGAAACTTTTTTTATATGTGTTGTGTTTCTTCTCATAGATCACATGATAAAATTTCTATATTCAAAAGGGGATGGTTTTATATTAGATATATATGACATATGCAAATTACAGTAGGCAAAATAAAAATTCAGACAACTAATGCTGATATAGTGCTTTTAAGTTATTTTAAAAATAAATTGATAGTTGAAATTCTTCAACAACTCAAAAGAACTGATTAAGTAAGTTGTTGGTGTATAAAAGCTACATTATCTTAATAGAGAAATGTACTCAACATAAAAGGATAATATGTATCTTAAGCATTTTGATATAATAATTTAGTTGGCTTCAGAGACGTATTTTGTCCTAAAACGTGTTCAGTAGGGTTGGATTGGTTATCATTTGATTCCTCCATCTAAAATCGAAATATTTTCTATCGCTTTTTTCACCAACATTTACCGAATAAAACTGGTACCTTAACACTTGATGTGATGATTTCCTTAAATTGTATTTGCAATGGAAATAATACCGAAATTTCCATATATGACCCTGTCTCATTACTTTACAGGCCCACTGTACTAATCTAATGTATTTGTATTGCGGTGCAATACATACAAACTTTATTGCTTCAAATTGAAGATAATCTATCAATCTAGGCTGAAAGTTAGAACATTCTTATAAAGTCAGTTTTGGAGTGAGTTTGTGAACGAAGAAGATAAACTTATCGGTTTTGAATAAATTATTAAGGATCAATTTAATAATATATATTTTATAAACTTTGTGAAGCGAAGGACTTAATTGTGAAGTGAAGTAAATGTTAATGACTTAATAAATTTTGAAGTGCAGGACATTCGCTCGAAATTTTACTTTGAATATAAAATTGAATTTTAAAATAATTTAATTCGTTTTAACTAAAATTGAGTTTAAATAAAAATAATATTTTTTATTTATAAATATGAACTTTGACATGCAGGATATTAGCTCTTTTTTTACTTTGAATAAAGATGAGATGAAATTTATTCAAATTTCTTTAAAAATATCAAAATAATTTAATATTTTTTAATTAAAATTAGATGTTGAAAAAAGTGAAAAAAATTTTAATTTCATGTTAAAATAAATTATTGCGATGAACACTGAATTTTACAACTCTTAATTCAAAAAAAAATTAAAAAAATAAAGTGTTATATGAAAATAATTTAATCTTCTTAAAAATATGAAATTAATTAAAATTTTTTTTATTAAAATTAAATTTCAATAAAAGATTAAAAACAAGTTTGTTTTATATAAAAATTAGAATTGAAGTGCAGGACTTTATTACCAACTCTAACGTTGAAAAAATAATTATATTGTGAAAATTATATAGTTTTTCCTAAAAGGATCAGCAAATCTTAATTATTTTAAAATTACAAGAATTATTAAATATTTTTTAATTAAAATTAAATTTAAATAAAAGTGAAAAAGGTTTTGTTTTGCTATAAAAATTAAATATGAAGTACAAGACATTAATTTTAACACTTGCTTTAAATAAAAATAATTATATTTTTTTTCTAAAATTATCACTATAATTCTTTTTTTATTATTGAATTATAGTGAAAGAAATTTAAATATAATTTAAAAAATTTTGAAATATTAAAAACTTATTTCATAAAATATTATTATTGTTTCAGGACACTGCGTCTTTAAATCAGCACTCAAGGATCTATTATCAGCATTAACTGAGTAATTGTAATCCTGTATCGTTTCTTTTATATATATATATATATTTTTACAAAATAGTTACTATGTTTTTTAAAAATTTAAATAAAAAAAATTTAATAAAATTATTTTTATTTAAATAAAATATTTATTTTTAAGAGCCTACAAAAATATTGGTTTAAAAATATTTTGTGTGATTATATATTACAGTTTATATACTGTTTATAATAAAATTATTGTAAATAAATTTTGTATAATTTACAGAAAATAAAATCATTTCAAATTTTCAAAGAATCCAATTGAAAGAAATATGGATGGTCAAAAGTCAGATAATACTACATATACTGCTGAGAACGAACAACTTTTCAATCTTCCAATAATAGAGAAATCAATAACTTCGGAAAGTTCTCAAAATGAGGGTAAAGTGGATGTTGAAGCCACAGCACGTGATGAGGAGAAGGAAGCAACTCCAGAAATGGAGTCTACTAAGGAAGCTGATAAATGCGAAACGAAAGTTACTGAAAATATGGAGGACTCTGCTAAAGAAGCTGAACTTGTTACTGCTAAACGTGAAAAAGGGACTGGCCAAAATAAGAAGTCTACTAAGGAAAGTAAACTTGAAGCAACTAAAACTAAAAAGAAGTCTTCTTCAAACGCAAAGTTAGTGGAAGGAAAACTTAAGAAAACTGAACTTGAAAAGAAAGCACCGAAAAATAAAAAGGGATCTACTAAGGAAACTAAACTTGAAACTCCTAAAAGCGATAAGGCAGATCCTCAACTCCAGGAATCAACCGAAAAAAATAAATTTGGTGGAACTAAAGGCGAAAACAAGGATCCTCCAAAAACTGAATCTAATGTGGATGACATTAATTTAACTTTTGAGGAAAGACTTAAACTTGAAATGGCTAGACGTGAAATGGAAAGACCATGTAAGTATTTTTTTTTAAATAATAATATGAATGCTATCGAATCGTTACCTAAAATTTTTATATTTCTAAATATTTGTAAACATTTTCAAAAATTTCAATTCACGTACAGCTGCTCCTCTTCCCATGAATATACCATATTTCTATCAATATAAACGAAACACTAATGAAGATGATGGTCCTTCACCATTCTCTCCTATTCCAGCTATGCGTTTAAAGAAACTTAGTAAGAGCAAGGAAACTTTTTCTGAAGAAGTAACTAAACGTTATGTGCAAACAGAACAAGATTTAGGACTGCCATTTTTTGGTCCACTTGACTTCCATACTCATGGAAGACCTCGTCCTTTTTCAACAACTACTCAATCGGCTTTGGCAGAAATGATGAAAATCACTCAAGAGCTTGAGAAACTTGATATCAAAGCCCGTAAAGAATTGGACGAGGCTAAAATTAAGGAAGTTGAAAAGCAAAAAAAGAGATTGCGTAAAGTCTTGAAGGAATATGATGAACTATCAAGAATTTTGACAGCTGCTGAAGATTTCGAGCGAAAAGTTGATTTGATTCATGAGAATATAATGCTACAAAGAAGTATTCGAAATGAAAAACAAAAACTTAAGCGCATGAGACCACCATCTGAGACTAAAGAGCGTAGCATTAAAAAGAAATTGGAAACTCAAAGACTTATCGATGAAACTTATGAAAATCTCTATCAAATAATTAGAGATTTGGAAATGAATAATAAGTTGCCGAAATTTTTTATTCCTAAAAAAAAGAACGAAAATCCTATAACAGTTATACAAACTAAGGATGTTGAAAATGCATCCAAGAAGATTTCGGTTCACAATTTTAATGATGCAGATGACTACGCTGAAGTTGTTGTTGAATTCAGATTCAAGTTTGAAGATGATGATGATGACGATGATGATGACGAAGAAGAAGAAGAAGACGCTGATGATGGTAATGTCGATGAAACAGAAAAGTCAAAACCATTTCAAAAAAAATAAAAAGTTAAATAAAAAATAAAATTTTTTTACTACAATTTCTTATTATGAACAATTATTAAAACTTTTTTCAACTATTTTATATAAATATATAATCAATTATCATTTTTATATTACTTAATCAACATATATTATATGAATGTTATAACCAGTTATCATCTTTATATTACTTAATCAACATATATTATATGAATATATAACCAATTATCATCTTTATATTACTTAATCAACATAAAATTTATAAATATATAACCAATTATCATCTTTATATTACTTAATTAACATATATTATATGAATATTTAAACGCTTACATTACAATTTGCAACTATTTGGGGAATTACAATTATGACTAATTATTATTATTACTTTTTTTACCATATATATATCACATAAATATTCCAACAATTAATTTTCTTATATTTCAATTATTCACATATAGTGAAACAATATTTTATCAATTATAAAACAATTTTGCAATTTTTTTCATATTGTCAAATTTAAATATAAACAATTACTATTATTAAAACAAATTATTATTATTATATCCAAATATATTACATAACTATATATAATCTCTATATTACAAATACTTGATCAATTCAACATTATCCTATATTTAATCAAATAAAATATTATTATCCACAATAAAGCAAGTCTTTTGTATATTTTGTATACTCTTCTGTATATATATATATATATAAAGATTTATATCGTATTTTTAAACTACTTTACAGATAATGAATACAGAACTTTTAGATTAATCAAGTTTCCCAAGTCGTTTGTCATAAAGGGAATGTCATTGGGAATATTTTAAAAATTTTTGCATATGTGCAGTTTACTTAGGAAATCTTAAACGAAATTTTTTAAAATAATTACCGTTATTGCCTTACATTAATTGGTGAATCACAGTGACAGGCCATCTAATGTAAGACGTAGGTTAGGAAGGTCTTGATCATACCCATTGCGATACCACAAAAAATTAAATATTAAAACTGAAATAAGTTGACCTCCATCAATTGACAGTAAATAATCCTATTCATGACCCAGTATAGTAAATCATAATTTATTTTAATACAATGTAATTTTATATATATAATATATCATTTCGGAAGGGAAAAACTCAAAATGCGTCGATCATTTGACTCAGTGACATAACAATTATCGTTAAATGAACCCTACATCTACGTACCCGTCAATCTTTTTTTTTATAAAATGTCATCCTTTAATATAACAATTGCATTGGACAGTGAAAACTTGTCTATGCGAATTGATTTGCTTTATACTTTTTTGACTATAAGAGTCGCACCCAATATATATGTCAACTACACGTATATATCTTAAACTATACGTATGCTCTTCATATAGCCAGTTTAATTGAAACCAAAGGCATACCAATGTCTGCAAAGATTAGTATTCTTCGACTTAACGATCCTACAACTGTCATAAATAAAAAGTTAACCGATAAATCAACAAAAATATTTATAAATATGTATTGTGAAAATATCAGATTTAATCAGAAAATAAGATTTAACTGGCTGTTAAGCCTACAGTTGACAATACCACTTCATGCCGAATTGAATATTTTGCTTGAAAAATGATAAATTGATTTGCAAAATTTTTTTTTTTCGAATCACTCTACTCTATATGCTTGTTCTAGGTCAATATTTTCTATGGATATATTCCCAGTATTTTACATAGTTGTTAAGGGGTACTTTTTGTTTATTAATTATTGTAGTGTGACAGCTAGTTTTAGAGGAAATGTTAAGTGAATATTCTATTCATCGTTGATTTTGAGGCTGGTCACCTCTATCATCGTCCCAATCATGTTAAGTTGATGAACATGATATTGCAATATGCATTAAGTTTTTACAGGATATTTGTGCTCCTATACTATTCCGAAGTTTTCAAAAAGTTAATGTGATCCGACGTTGGCAAAAACTTAATGATAATCAACTTGTTTGAATCTTCAGGTAATAACTAAAGAGACTAAAAACTTTAATAAGTCTATTTAGCAGGTGTGTGTTTTTCCGATTTGACTAAGATATGTCGCCAGCGAAAATAACGCACATAAGTGGATCCGCCAAAAACTAGCACATGTGTTTAATCGTTCAGTGATCTTGTTGAATTTTGTGCCTGAAAAAGAACACATGTGAGACATGGTCTCGACATGTGGGAAGACGAGCAATTGCAGGATGATCCAACTCAAACTCATCGACATAATATATAATGTTTTCTCTTTATTAAAAACAACCGGAAAATGCTTATGTACACACCTGCTTTTCAGGGATATGATAAAATTGTTGCGTTATTAGGCCGAGTGTGGCTACAAATAGTCGTCTTATGTGTAGCAATAGACTCGGTATAAAATGTTGTGAAAAATATACAAACATAGTATTGTGAATTAACCTAAGGTAAAATAGTCCAACTCACGTTGAGTGGATAACTGATTTTTTCAACTAAACACTGTCAGGAGAGCAGTATGCAGATCAAGTTTCACTGCAAGTTGTAAAACCAAGTTGTGATGTCAAGCATAGCTTGATATATGATTTGATTTAAAAAAACGCACTATGTAAAGTAATTAAGACCTCAAATTAAGATATTAATTCTTTATTCTACTTAATTAAATTCAATCGTAACTCATTTTACCTACAATTGAAACCAAAATGTATATTAAAATAATTATGTTATAATGTCTTTTTAAGCATGAAAAAAAAAAACTTATAAACAAAACTAGATTCAAAAATTATACAATATTAATACAAGAAACCAAAATAGAAAATTGCACGTTACCGGTAAGTTTTAGAGATTTGCACCTCTTAAATATTGCCACACATTTGCCATAGCACACCCAGTTTTGAGCAAAGCGCCTGTCAGAGCCAGATGCCTAATGGCTTTAGAGCGTAACTCCAAGTGACAAGCAACCAAAAACACAAAATAAATGTGAAGAAAAGGAAAGACCAGAGTCACTCACATCAATGGAAGTGGAAAAATGTTACACTCGCCTTTCAAAGGAAAACTGAAATAAAAGCAGGAAAATATAAAACTCGGGCAATGCGAAAATTACAAAAATTTATCAACTGACAATGTTTGGATGTACGATTTATGTTCAGTTTACCATCGAGTGCGTAACTTTTCAAAAGTATCTGAAAACTTATTAAGTTGATTCATAAACAGTTTAAAATGCTTGCCAATTTCGATACGGAGAGCTCAGAGCTCTACTGAGCTCTATACAACAAACTATACAACTGTGCATTTAATGGATTGCATTGATAAATAGTAATATAAATAATAATCTTAACTGGTTCATATGATTTTGACTAAAATTTTGTGTACTTCGAAATGATTTCGTTGACTTGTCGCATTGAGCAATGCACTTCTTGTTCATACTGAATTCGATACACTTGCAAAATGCGGTCTTAGCCGATCTTGGCAGTATGTCCAGTGTGGTACGCAAGCGGCGTCTATAATTGCTCAGCACAATGTGACAACCTGAGCGCAATTATTAAGTTGCCAATTAAATGCCTCACACTTTATCTCAGCGTTCTTTAATGAAAAAAAAAAAATACATACCAATATTAAATACAATAAGAAACGTTATATAAAAATACTTTTGAGTTACAACAAATTTTTCATTAAAAAATCATTTCTTGTGCAATTAAGCAGAGCGCATTAATTTCTCGTTTGCACGCTGGCTTCTGTTGAAGTTTCTTGACTATAAAAACCGCCTGTCATCGAGTAAATGCAACACAGTCTACAATCACCGCAATCTTAACTATTCGAACAAGTCAAGTGAATTCTCCTCAAAAAAAATTTAAATCAACAAAATGTTCCAGTTGGTAAGTTCACTAAAGTGCATAAAATCAAAAAGTTACAAAGTGATATTTCATAAAGGATATAAACAGGATATTCTTCGGACTGCAAATAAAAAATGCTACTTTAGTGCTATAAAGTAGCATGTATTAGAATTCAATACTAGTGTACTATAAAAAAAAATAACTTGTAACAATAAAATGTGTGTGATTCTAAGGGTGATTTTATGTGTTTAATATAAAATTAAATAAGAATCGCAATATACTTTAAGTTGACGTTTATAATTATAAAATAAAAATAATATAATATTCCATCAATTAAAATATATATATAAGACTTTTGCAAACGTCATATCCTCTTTTTAAAAAATAAGTGTGTACTATAAAAATCATAATCAGATTATAATTCTTAATATATGATTTGGTGTCAAACAGCACTTTTACTACTTAGTGTGGGTTAACATAACATGAATAGTTGTGTTACTGATCGATGTCATTAGAAAAAACTTCGATATATAATATTACAAACAACTGACAAATTTATTTCTGTTAGGATTAATTTGAGAGTTGAGTATAGCGCCTTATATATATCCATATAAAGATATGTATATATCTTTATCACTGTATATTTATATATCTTTACATATATCTTCATATATTACATAACCCTTCAGCTGCAGTGTTTGTGTGCCTAAATAAAATGTCTTGCTGAAAAGTTTTAATTTTTTTCCATATTATAGGCATCCACATAATAATCCCTAGATCTCTGTGTTAATCCGTAAATACTATTTCGACATACCACAGAGCATTTCAGACATTCTTAAGAAAATCAATAACCAAGTGTTCTCTTCATTTTGTTTATTAATGAATTTATTGTATTTCTCACAATATACAAATCAGTATAACAAAGCGGTTTTAATATTTTAGGAGAATCGTACTACAAGGGGAGTAACAAATGTTCGCCTAGTTGGTTACAAAAAAAATAAA